ACTAGAGTGACACAAACAAACCACATTAGAACAAGACCATGGATATCACTGACAGACACACCCTGTATCCCTAGTGATCCACTACAATGAGACTACAGGGACACAAACAAACCACATTAGAACAACACCATGGATGGACAGTGCTCAAAAAAATGGCTCGTTATTTACAGCAACAATGCTTGGCCAAAATTGATACTTTTTTGACCAAATGCCTCTTACTGCCCTCTTCAAAGGTCACATTGACTGGTCACATGTTGATCAGTCTGATGGGCTGGTCATCATCATGCCATTTAAACCAGCCATTAATTTTAGCCCTGCTACTTGCTCTATAATGTATGGAGCTTGAAGGCCAGGCTTCAAAATGATGATAAAGACAATACCTTTCCAACCCAAGTGTCAGCTGTAATATCTAATGAAACTTTGATTGCAGCTATTTCAGGGATGCTGTGTGTTCCAATGGATATTACAAAGTCTTCTATGTTGACTTTGACCTATAAGAATTATAACTTAATTATTTTAGTTATCAAAAAATAAATAAATAAATAAATAAAAATGAAAAAAATAAAAGGGACTAGTCAGTGAAACTATAAAAATATGGTTACAGTACGTACTGTACATTACTGACAGTAGTTAACAGATACAATGATGGCTGGTCATCAGACAATTTTCTGCCAGAATTGGGACTTGTCCAGTTAAATCCTTCTTTTGCCGCTCACTTTGACCAGGAACATTGCCCAAGCCAGAAACAAGGTATGACAGAGCCAAAACTAATGTGGTCAGTCATTATGACTGGCAACCGACTGGACGTAATTTCAAGTCATACTAGGTTCATACTATTGCAATTGGTACATGTATACATCTATTTGAGATTTGTATCAGAATTACCTTGGATATTTGTTTATTATTATGAGATACCAAAGCTTTTGGTGATTCTGCTTGTTTTTCTCCACCTGAAAGCATAAGCATGCTTGAGCTTGAAAGTATAGAAGTGTATTTTAAAATACAGAGATGAGAGTATGTGGACCGCGTGGCACTAATGAAATAGTAGAAGATAATATAGGTAAGTTGTAGTGCTTGGGAACGAGGTTAATCCGGGCGAAAGCCCTTGGAATTAAATTCGGAAAAATTAATTTCCGACCTCGCTGGAACCTCGTTCCCAAGCACTACAACTTACCTATATTATCTTCTACTATTTTAAAATACAGTAGAGCTGTTCTAAACAAATCTTGATTCAGTATTATAAATAAACCAATAATTATACATAAGTAGCACTAAGGTAATAGAGCAGTTTTTGCATGACTGTGAAAAGCCCAGTGCAGTAAGCGTGCCGTGTGGTGACCATGATGTAATCTAGAATTTTGGCTGTTTTTTGTCTTGGCAATGTGATTGGTCTGACAGTGCCGTGACCTTGTCATGAACATGTCCACACCAGTTTAGTAGATAAGCAGAGTGGTAGAGCGGCTTGCATGTACTGTAGTTGGCAAACAGATGTTACTGTCAGTACTTAGGTGGCATAGGTGCATGTACCGCTATGGCACTTTTGTTCACCACTGTGTAGTTCAGACTAGTGTTACATGTTCAACTAAATAGCAGTATGTGAGTTGATTTTGTTTGATGTGTTGTTCTATCCCTTCCCACAAGAGTTTCTCTCAGGGTTCTCAAGTTTTCCTCTCTCCATAAAAATCAACATGTGAATTACAGCTGTAATAAGTAAGTGTTGCGTGTTGCATTGAATGTAGTGGAAGTGCATTTGGAGCGAAGCTCACGGATCCAAAAGAGCTTTTCTCCTACATGTGAAGTGATGGTTATATGCATGTGTTAAAAAAATTATATGAATTGTAATTAGTAAGTGTAATTATTAGTAAGTGTTGTGTGTTGCAGTGAATGTAATGGAAGTGCATTTGGAGCAAACCTCACCGATCAAGAAGAGCTCGCCTCCTATGTGGAGTGATGGTTATATATATGCAATAAAAAATATTATATGAAGTTTTAGTTTATAAGTTTGACAGCATCAGCAGAGGCACTGTTTTTGATTAGAATGGAAAGAAAGCATAAGGTATTACAGGGGCCACAGAGCACCCTGGAAAGTGGGTGTTTGTGTGTGTGTGTGGGGGGGGGGGGGGGGGGGAGGAGGGGTTTGAGATTGGAAAATACTGACTATATGAGACTAGTATGGGAAAGAGTTGGGGGCTAAGATAGAAAAACATAAGAGACTAGTATGGCAGTGTTTACTTAAGTCACGTACCTTGCCCTATTTCTCTAATTGAATAATATTATTATGTTACTTTTTGTCACTAGCTTTTTTCATAAATTCTATTTTTAAGAACAGCCTCATATACATGTATGTAAGAATAGTATGGTAAAAGGGATAAAGTGTATGTGGGGGGGGGGGGGAGAGTGGAAGGGGGCTGCAGTAGCCCCCCTGCCCAACCCCTCTGCTTTGCCTATATTGTTTTTTAATGACAGTATTTTTCTTACCATCACTAGGGGTGGTGTCACTCAAAATGCTCTTAAATCCATCAGCCGACCAGAGTACATCCTTCAGGTTGCTTCTGGTAATTCGTATCCGCGTGCCGTGGAATCTGTGGGACAGCTGATAGGGAGAGTCTTTAGGAAAGACAAACTTTAGTCTTAGGCATGCCATATTGATCAACTGAAACAAGACAATAGAATGATAAAATGAATTACTGTCAGTATTGCAAGAAGATAATGATGAAAGTAAAAATGATCACTATGCTAGCTGTTGATGAAGATAAGGATGCAGATGATGATAATGATAATAAATACTCTTGCAGATGATCACTAGAATATTATTGTATGATGCAAATGATGGATATAAATATAATGATACATACATGGTCTTTTTTCTTGGAGCTATGATCATGAACCCTCCCTTTGAGAAAACAGGATAGCTTGTTAGCTCTTCCACTAATAACAAACACATTAACGCCTTTTATAAATACAGCTTCCGCAGCTTTCACCTGCAAGAATAATAAAACAAATCATAAAAAATGCTATGATTTCACAAGTACAGTATATGCATGACCAACAACACATTTCAAACATACATGTAGTGAAGTCAGGTTTTGTTACATGTAGGTGTAAATTAAGATGTGTAAGAAAATAACACCAATTTTGACTAATGTCCATGAAAATGTGACATCTTTCTAGTACATGTATGTTTGAACATTAAGTCTTGCTGTCACGTATATTATGTATTACAGTAATCGTGTACTTCATGACCAGCCGACACGAGTCAGTCGACTATCGCCCGACTGTTGGTCGACATGATTACCGTTAATTTTGGCTATTACATACGGAAGCCCACAACTGTCACGGCGAAAGCCAAAAGCTCACGGCAAGAGCCAAAACCTCACGGCAAGAGCCAAAAGCTCACGGCAAGAGCCAAAAGCTCACGGCAAGAGCCAAAAGCTCACAGCAAGAGCCAAAAGTTCACGGCAAGAGCCAAAAGCTCACGGCAAGAGCCA